AAAAAAAATAAATTGTAGCACCAATCTGTGCCAACACGGACATCTGGCAATCTGTGGAATTCTAATTACCTCTTTACGCCATAGGCCATATTAAGCAAATTGTCCAGCCTGAAAAGAGAAGGAGGGTCTTTGGGTTAATGTCTCACAGATGGCAAGATCGCTCAATGGAACTATTATTAATAGTGTTCCATTTTCAAAGAAGAAACGTTCAACAAGTTTCCCACACATCTAAGGAGCCCAACAACTCCCGCCTGCTTTGTTAAGCATGAGCTTGTGCTTAAATTTCCACCGCAGCATTTAAAGCCATTTTTAACTTGTCTACGGACTTAGAGAAAATCTTCATTTCCAGGATTTAGTTTTAAAAAAAAATCCACTTCTGATTTGTCTTTTTTTAGACAGTACTAGTATGATTTTTTTTTAAATAATTGAACTGTTCACCTTATATTTACAGTTAACTTGGAAATAAAGTATTACAGTCCAAAATTTCTCCGACTGGAAAAATTCTTGATTCTAACTGCTTTAACATACTACATTCTCCCCACTACATCACATATATTTAGTCTTAAACGTCCACAATATGTCTATATAAATGACCACATAATTTTGCAGAATATAATAAACAGCTTTCCATGGGAGCACACTAAAGCCCTTCTGTCCATGGAAGGATTCAGGGGTAGCCTCAATGGAGACAACTGCACGCCAAAGATAAAAACAAGTGTGAATTTAATGTATCCGAGTTTTTAAATGACCTTTAATTCATTAGCACTTTTCATCACTGAAGAACTAAAATTGCTTTTGAATAGTTCTCTAAAGCCAGTATGCAACTCAATTAAGTGAATACGTCCAAGTTTCCTTTTTTGAAGGCAGACTTTTAACTTCAATGCTAGGTTGCCTGAAAACTATCATCAAATATAAAATTAATGAGAACATCATGTATTGCTAACTCTGGCTTACGTATCAGATGGAAACAGTATATTCAGAATGCAAAGCATAAAACATCCCCAAAAGCATCTGAAGAATCACACCAGAGACTAATGCAAGGTCTCTTTATACTAAGAGCAGATATCTCAGGCTAATACATTTAATGATACTGCTGCTGACTGGAACAGACTCAGCTTTTTTCCTGCTACCAATCCACTGTCATTAACATCAAAGTCTAAGCTGCATCAAAACTGTAATAATATAGCAGAAAATAAAAGCATTACCAAAAAAAAAAGAGAAAGAACAGAATAGTCACTGCTCATTTGATTATCAGTGTAACTCTATTCTGTCCTCCCTTTTTCTATGAGCCTTCATGAGATCTGATTGTACAGTACTTCAGCTGTTTTAGTAAATACAACATGACTACTGCTGTCAGCAGATTTTCCTCCTCATTCTCCAGGAAAGAATATTTAATTTTACAAAGAAAATCAGGTCAGCCTATGCAACTAAAGCATATTTTCCTGCGCAGCACCTGCCCCACATTGTCATTGCTGGTGGAACTTCAGTTCTTTTCCAGGTAATTACCTGAATCTCTGAGCCTGGTGGTGAAGTGGTCCAGGGTAGCGTCTGTTGGGAGACTGATACAGCTGTGAAAGGAGTGCCTGGCTTGTTTTCTGGCTGGGGTTATTGGCAAACTTCACAGTAATTGGTTCTGTAGCACCACTAGGCTTCTGGCCATTTAGTCCCTTTATGGCTTCTTCTGCCTCTATTCTCTTATCAAAGCGGATAAATCCCACACCTCGAGAAACCCCTGGGAAGTAAAAAAAAAAGTGAACAGATGAATATTTGCAGGAACAGCCTCATCTACGGAAGAAACAAACTGAACGTTGGTTTTGACTTCACAGAATACACAGCTTGCAAATTAAGTAAGTCCTATAAAGACAAACGCCCTTCCCCAGCTGGGTTCTCCAAAATCAGTCCCAACCATATTTAATACAG